ATTATCCTTATGGGCGGCTTTAATGTTGATGTAGCAAGTACCACATCCAATAATAACTGGGTTAAACAATTTTGCGATATTTTTAACCTCATCCAACTAATTAAGGATTATACAAGGGTCACAGATACAACAGTTATTGATCTTATATTTGCTTCAGATCCAGGTAAAATCGCTCAATTTGGCGTCTTGTCCTTGGGAGTGAGTGATCACTTCTTGACCTATTGTAGTAGAAATTTAGTCAAAAGTCAAATTAAGAAACACAAAACAATTACAATAAGATCTATGAAGGGATATTCAGCTGAAAAACTTAATAATAAACTTATTGAAATCAATTGGACCGATCTACTAAATGCTACTGACGTTAATATTGCCTGGTTTTTAGCAGTAATTGATGAGGTTGCTCCCCTAAAACGTGTTAGAACAAAACAACGATCTGAGCCATGGTTGACTACTGAAATTAGAGATCTTATAATTCAACGAGATAAATGCTTATCTGAATTTTTTTTTAAACAGAGATAGTAGTTTTTTTACGCAATTTAAAAAACTTAGAAGCACAGTACGTTACAAAATTAAAAAAGCAAAATTTAAATATCTTTCTGACCAACTTAGTGTAAATGAGAACAACCCCAAGAAACTTTGGAAAACTTTAAAAAGTCTTGGTGCTGACAAGAACGTTAATCAAATAAGTAACTTTTCCATAAAATGTAATGACTCAATTTTATATGACAATGAATCCGTGGCTGATTATCTAAATTCTTTTTTTTTTGTTAATACTGCAACTAAATTACAAAATACGTTGCCAAACCAACCAGGAATTTTTAATGAAAGTCATGTAATAGAATTCTATAAAAACAAACATGTAAAACCCGGTGATCAGTATTTAGGGAAGCTGATGTCATTAACCAACTTAATGTTAACAAAGGAGCTGGATTAGATTCCTTACCTGTTAGGCTTGTTAAGGATGGTGCTAAGAATATTGTTCACCCGCTCACATCTATTATTAATTTATCTATTAGAACTGAATGTAAGGACTGGAAATGTGCCCGGGTCATACCCATCTATAAAAAAAAATGATAAGTTAGATGCTGGGAATTATCGGCCTGTGTCTTTACTCTCTGCTATTTCCAAAATTGTTGAACGTATTATATATGATCAATTAATGAGCTACTTAACTGAAAAAAATCTCCTCTACGATTTCCAGTCGGGATTTAGGCCATCGTTCTCTACTGACACTTGTTTGATTCATCTGTCTGATTACATACGTAAAAAATGGGATAATGGTGAATATACTGGTATGTTAGTCTTAGATTTTAAAAAAGCTTTTGATACCGTTCATCATGATATTCTTTTGTATAAATTAAGAGCTTTGGGGCTATCAGATATCTCTATTTTATGGATGCAATCATACTTACGGGGAAGATGTCAAGTAGTTGACATAAACGGTACTAGATCCCCTATGCTAGAAACGAAGTGTGGCGTGCCACAAGGCTCAATACTTGGGCCTCTCCTATTTCTAGTTTATGTCAATGACATGCCATCCTCCGTAAAATGCACATTATTATTGTATGCTGATGATGCAGTGTTAATGGTATTAATAACTATTAATGTAAAAAATATTGAAACTCAACTAAATGAAGAGTTAAAATCTATAAATAATTGGCTTATTGATAATAAATTAACGTTACATTTAGACAAAACCGAATCCATACTGTATGGAAGACGAAATATGAGTAGAAAACAATCAAAACTGGATATTACCTTTAATAATTGCAAAGTAAATGCCAGAACCTGTATCAAGTACCTGGGTCTTGACCTTGATCAGCACCTTAATGGTAAATCCATTGGTACGAAAGTTTTAGGTAAGGTACATGGTAGACTTAAATTTCTTTTAAGAAATAGAAAATATTTAACGTATAAATCACTCAAATTGCTTGCGTCCTCACTTATTCAATGTCACTATGACTATGGGTGCTGTACGTGGTTCTCTTCGCTTTCTAAAAAACTTAAATATAAATTTCAAACATCCCAAAATAAGGTTATAAGATGTGTTTTGGGACTACATCCACGAACCCCTGTTGTTTATGAATTTAAAAAATTAAATTGGCTACCTGTTTCTACTAGAGTTGCTGAACGAAAATGTATTCAAATTTTTAAAATTATTAATGGCATTCCCCCTGTATATTTAAATACTGGCATTGAATTTACTAACCAATTTCATAACTATATAATACTAGATTTTCGACTTCTAGAATGACAATTTATAAACAAAAATCTGGTACACATAGTAGATTCTCATTCATCGATACCGCAATCGATGAATGGAATAAATTACCTTAATGTTCAAAATTCACAATCCATATATACTGAACTTTATTATACATAGCTTTATTTATATGATGTCTTTTTTTGATTATTGAATTTGACTTTGTTGTTTTGATTATGTATTATTCTGTAATTTAAGTATTTTCATTTAGGGACCACAGTGGAAATAAGTTGCTTTTTTGTACTTTTCTGTGTTTTTATCGTTGAATGTATTTTACTTATAATTACTTCAGAATGAATAAATAAATAAATAAAAACAATATTTAAGTTTAATTGAGGAAAATATAATGACTTTACTGTCGTTATTTACTCTGAATCTTTAGCTCTTTTGAACACATATGTTTAAGCTTGCGGTACACCACGTAGGTAGTTCTGAAAAGAGCTGTTGTAGATGATAAAGTCTCGACGTTTCGATTGAGTTGCTTCAATCGTCTTCAGGAGAATAATATCTGCAGAAACTGAGGGAAAGGGTGGAAACGCCCAAACAAAGCCTTGCTTCCAGTGGCGGGATGTCTTCGTTTTGGTCGTTCCCACCCCTTATCCCGCCACTGGAACTAGCCTTTGTTTGGGCGTTCCTACCCATTCTCTCAGTGAACAATGGCTTTTGTTTTAGCCTTTTGCTAGCAGTCAACAGAGACATGGTGGGGCTGAGGTGCTATAGATCCGCTACAGTATCTGCGAAAGTACCCCATTTGGCGGATTCAAGGGAGCCAGGCCCTTCTAAATTGTTCAAATTATTTTTTTTTTTAATGGAGATTTATTTATAAATTTCCTATATCAATCTTGAACATGTCACAAATATATCATTTCTAAAGTGGCCTCCTACTGGATCTCATGGGTGGAGCCTAAATTGTTCAAATTGTTTTTGTAATGGAGATATGAAGAAAATTATATCTAAATTTTAAGTCTGAAGGTGAAATTTACGGGCATCTAGAGGTGCCATAGTTACAAAATAATTTTCTTATCTCATCCTCAACCATGATGGGGCTGTGGTGGTATATATCTCTATCTGTGAAAGTACCTCCCTCCCGGGCTCCTCTATTTTGAATTCCTGGATCCGCCACTGGAAATTACAACAATTATGAAGTCATATTACAGTAGCTTGATGGCTGTAAAATAACTAATAAAATTCACCAATCTTCGTAATACGTAACTGTAGCTTCCAGGGCGCGGGGCCCGCCCAGCCTAAATGCTCGCTTCACTCGCATACTAGACCTTATGAAATGCCCTTCTCCCCCACTTTCAAAAACGTTCCGCCGCCGTTGAACTTATCGAGATGGTGTCCGGCAGGGGAGAGTTTTACCCTGTATAGTAGTTTAAGACATCACAGTCTTATCAAGCCCCGAAACGTTGACTCAGAAATACCGAGAGTGTCCGGCGTTGGATAGTTTATTACCTGATATTATTACATTTTTACCTGTTATTATATATTTCTGTTATTTATTCATGAGCGAATCCTTGCACTTATGTATTTCTATGTAAAATGTTTCTACAAATGACAAACAAATTTATTTATTTATTATTTATTTCAACAATCTTTAATGAGGGTGGTCCATCCAGTCGAAGCTGATCATTAGGGACCCTCAATACACATTAGTAAAACAAAACAAAAGAGAGTATTAAACTATATAAGTTACAGTAATATAAATAACAACCTCAATTCAAAATTTACATAAGGAATTAATTCAAAATTAAATGAAAAAAATTAATATAAAAATTAAATTACAATTAAAGATGTAAATGAATCAGCAAGATTAAAAAACAATAGGCAAAAGAGACAGTAAAGAAAAGAAAAAAAATTGAGAATAAAGTAGTCTAAATAAAATAATCAAATAAAGTAAAAATAGATAATAGGCCAATGCATATGAGAACTATAAACCAAATCATTCTTAATTTAAAGAAAATAAATCAATTTAAATTAATAAATAAAACAGAAAATAAATGTAAGGTAGAAATAAAAAAATGAATTCACAGTGCAAATTCAAATCACAATAAAAAAAAATAAGGCCAAAGAAACAGAATTAGAGGAAAGAAAGAAGGAGTAGGCCTCTACTAAATAAACTCGTACAACTCTTTTAGTACCGTATTACGATGTAAAGCATAATAATTATTGATTTTATTTAGTAGCATTTAGTATTTTTGTTTTTTCTGTGTTTTTTACTTTGTAATTGTTAATAACTTTTTTTTGCAATTTCAATATCACTTTTCATTATGGCAATGCGGAAATGTAGTATGTTCTGTTGTACAAACAGACAAAGAATTTAGTTATGTTTTACGTTGTTTGTTGAAGGTCTTAGTTAATAATATTACGGTCTAATATGAACACTCAAATTCTAACTATAGAACACATTGACACGTAGCTTCAGGTCCATTTACATTTGTTTCCTTAAATCATAAGTAGGTTCAAAGTAACCATTCAAGAGTGCTCTATGGAGATTTAATAAGACCACAACATAAGGAATTCCATTCTTTAAATGTTTAAGGCATAGTACAGAGAATTCTTGATTCTTTATTAATATCATTATACACAGATCCACGGCCGGAGAGTAACTTAAAAACTACTGAACCGATTAACATCTAATTTTTACACATTGACAATAAATTATTACACGTATCCCGGTCGCGACATCCCAGTCCTCCTCAAATTTGGTGCTCATCAGAAGTAAATTTTAGAACGCTATTTTTATATAGTTTTCGGAAGCAACTGACTGAGCCGACTCGAGTCATTTGGGTAGGCAAGGCTGACTCGAGCGGACCAACTGTGTGTAAAATTCCACTTGAGGCCAATGCTATAGGCCTGGTTTGGCGGATAGATTAGAGAAGTAAAATGCAGATTTTAGAATGTTTTAAATATTTTCCGGCCGTGTATATCACAATCTGCTGACCCAATTTAAAAACAAAATCAAAGATATCCAAAGTAGGAACTTAAAGCCAGGCTCCGGAGGAAAAATGATATGTTGTACAAATTATTTTTCTAAGACACAAAAAGCATATTTGATGAAAATCCTGGGACCGGTTAGTGAGATACAGATGTTTGAATATAAAAAAAGTCCTTTTTTCCACCATTGTGTCCCCAGTTTTTAAATATTCAAAAATCTGCATATCATAAACCGCACCCGAGTTTTTCGTCAAATATGGTTTGGAAAATTCGGTTGAACAACAAATTACATTACATTATAGCAATCTACGGTAATAAAGTAGGTACAATTATTATACAAAATGCAATGTATTCACACCATCTCTAAAAGCATTCCAAGAGGAAGTGAGCAAGTGTAAACAACATCATACCACTGTTAAAGCGTTGCGATCTACTCTTTAAAGCCAAAGGGAAAATACCACATCTAATCTACCTAACAATTTGGCTTAAAATAAACATGTTACATAGTTGAACGTAAGTACTTTAATTACGTATTTTTTATTCTTGGGGATTATCTAAAAGTCTGTATCTGGGACAATTAGGTGACAAGAGTGCTGCTTCTAGTTTAACCCAGAATAATGCCTGTCTCTCTGGGTGTTCTTCCCACTCAATGTACGTTTTTGTGGTTAGTATCTTGTGTAATAGGATCGGCATATCTTTCGCTGACACCTTCTCAAGCACAACCACAACCAGGATATCCTCGTGATTGTCGAACATTCGCATGCGTGCCATCTCCAGTTCGAAGTAACACCATTCACTTTTGATGAAGTTTTTGGAGACAACCAACAGCACTTTACGGCTGTATTTAACAGCATTCGCGATATTATCGACAACTGCTTCTCCTGCAATAAAATCGCGGTAGTCAACACACAGTTTGAAATTGCGTTCGATTTCCAACGATGGTTGCAATACAGAAAGGATCCAATGTTGGTCTTTGCTGTTGTAGGCTACAAACGCGTCATATTTAATGTTTTCTCCATTAATTGGCGTTGGTCCTTGCTTGTTAATTTGTTCATACTGCTTTCTAAGGCGTCGTCGTTGATTCCAGTACCTTCATTCAAAACAAATAAAAATCATCTTAAATCTTAAACAGTGGACCTTTCTAAGCTAATCCAAGCCCTTTGGATATGCGTATGGTCCCGCAAAACGTCAGCGTAACACCTAACATACATAATAGAGCACTTATATATATATAAAACGCCATTTTCTTTTGGAACTCTTGGAGTGTGGACTAACTTGAAAAGTAACTTTTTTTCTCTCCTATGGGTTAGGTCTCTTCCGGTGTGAGCTACCCGTTGAACCGGAAACTCCCCAATCGTCTCGAAAGATGTACTAGGTTCTTTATAATCAGGTACGCAGGGGGGGGGGGGCGACGGATGCGTACACTGTGTGTTGTCCGACAGGGGGGACTTGAGCTAGTAGGCTCGAGCTGGGAGAAGGGATTGAGAAGGGGTTCCCCTTTCCAAATGAGATTTTTTTTAAAGAATATCAACCTCTAGATGGCCGAAAATTGCACTCTCAGACTGTGACAGACATGTGTTGACTTGGTATGGGCCTATTTTTATATGTTTTATGGTCTGACTGCCCGACGAGCTCTATCCGGCG